TTCATTTCTATATCATAGGTTTCATTTAACTTATGCAAAGAAGCCTGGTGAAGAATCTCACTAACCATGTTGAATGGAAGTTTCTCTTAAAGTCACAAAATCCAGAAGGGATACCATAACGTTTACAACAGTTTCAAAAAGGCCAAATGGCATGATTGACTTACACTTGTCTTCTTTGTCCGCCTGTACTTGGTAAACTATTTGGCCTTTTTACTTCCAAAACGAGAAGTCATAGCATACCGTCTCGACAAAAAGTTGGTCAAAGGATTGACTTTACTTCTCTCTTTGACGAATTGCAGTTTGGTTGCTGAGACTGGCAAGACTCCCTGATGATGTCGATTACGGTGCCAGCGAAACATCTAGGAATATACCAAGTCTACGGTCCGACGCTGGAAATGATGATGCACACTATGGACTCCGGACAAAATGCGTTGCTCTAGGTCTTCCTGCAAAGTTGATCAAGTTGCAAAGTCAAGATCAAACAACTTCTATCCTAATTCTCTCCCCCGATGTGAGTCGAATTTGCGTGTCCCATCGTTTATGCCCGACATATTGCAAGTAAGACACGAGTGCCAAGCGGCAGCTGTAAATCTCAAGAAAAGCTAGGTCTCTCCGAAACACACTTACGGTGGGATTTTTGATGAGACAAGCCTGCATTTTGTCATTACAACCAATGGTGTTACTTATATTTACGGTAAGTAGGTGTTACAACTTTCAAACAATTTCTAAATGAGGTCGAAATTGCAGTCCAGCTTGGATGAGTTAACCTTTTGGGAGATAAGGCTAAGTGAAAACCAATGAAATCGTGATGCCTATTCCATTTAATATGGGGAAATCTTTCTTTTGGTCCTTATATCATATGGGGGTGTGATAAGACCTATGCGAGGTCAAAACTGCAGTCCCCTGGTGCCTGGATGAGAATAACTTTTGGGAAAGCAAGGTTATGTGAAATACAATTGAAATGTCAGCTCTACTCATTTCATTGTAGGAAAATTCGACAATCAGTCCTTCATCAACTTAAACAAAATAGGGTGAATACATCTCATATCATTGAAATAGTTATCTTTCGACATGCGAAACTTATATATGAGTCGCGATGGCAACCTGCTAATGTGGATTTTGGATATCGTTAATCTCCAAGCAAAGCCATCAGTGACAGACTATAGGTTTTCATTTTCCTCATAACCACAAAGATGTGAAATTATAAAAAGTTAACTAACGAGTTATCGTCAGCCAGTTTAGAGACTGGGTGGCAAGTCCTGTGGCTCTTGGCTCTATACTATCTTTCTCCTGTCCTTCCCATGTCCCAAGTTCTCGCTCCACCCCCCCCTTAACAATCAAAAATTGTCCCCATCTCACTAGAGACAGTTCTTTCCTCACCTGAACCATTATGACAACTTAAAATTTACTGAAGTGAGTTGGCCTTGTTGTCGCAACTTGGTCTTGTTGTCAGGGCGACTTAGTAGAACGCACCTAGTCCGAAGTCGTTTGCCCGAGTAGTTGCCATGATTCCCAGCATCAGACAGTGGTCTTGGTACATTCTCAAATGTTTCGCCCTCATCATCATTCAGTTTTGTCTACGAACTCGTCAAAGAGACAAATGAAGTCAATCTCTGGACAAACGTTCTGCCGAAAACAGTTACACTATCACTCCTCTTTTTGCCCTGGTCTATCTATCTACCCTTTACCATCTATAAATCGAAAGGAGACTGCGACTATACCAGAGGCCACAATATCTTGGTCTTCTTAGCTTCAATTACAATTAAATGTTCTCTTTCCTTGAGTCTCGACACAATGATGTGCCAGTTTTCCTCTTAATACTTGTACTAAATATAATTAATTCTATTTCGTCTTCTCCTTTTGCCTTTTTTACATGCTCTTTTAACCTCTTTTTCATCTTTTGCCTGCTTCCCATGTCGCCTCAGTGAAGCCTGTCCACAGAGCTGACATTCCAGCTGGACAGTTGTTTTTTCCAGCAACCCACCTACTTGGTACAAGCAACACTCGTCTCCTCTCTTCCTTTCGACCTACTCTATCATCTGCCACAACTCCGAGACCTTTAGGTCACTCGACGACGCGAAAAGGCTCCACTGTCCGGAGGACAGACTTGTCCCCAGATCTCTCAGTTCACCGAAGAGTCTATCTACCCTCGGTCTGCTTCGGCGAGGTTTGGGACAACGAGGCTCCTAGCAACGGGTCTGAAGATGCCTCGCCTACCCTCCGTTCTGAAACCCGGCAGCCAACAGTGGCCACCTGCTGCTCAGCCTCACTGGAGGCCGCCATCGTCCGGCGCAGTACAGCAGACCTCCAGTCCGCTTTGACTAGCTACTTGTCGGCCTGGCCAAGTCAGCTGTTCGATCTAAAGATCCGACTGAAGGGTAAGCGTGAGAAAATGTTGTTGCCTGGTTGCTATGGCTGTAGACGAAGTCTGTGGCTAGGGTCTAAACTCTAATCTCGTTCTGATCCTATCGTTCATCAGATTTCCGGTGGCCAACCACCACTTTGACCGACAAGTGAAGAGAGCCGGCCAATAACAATGTTTGTTAATAGAAAAGTTGGGAATATCAGTGTCGGTAGCAAAATGAGTTGAGGAAATATGGTCTTTAGTGGAATCCAGAATAGACAAGTCTAGGC